GGCTTCACCTCTGGAGCTGATGGTCTATTCTCAAGTATGCTAAGAAAGTACCTGTATAATACAAGTTCTTTAGCATTTTTTGAATTTTTTTTTTGCTTTGTGGCCTAAGACATAGCGAACTTCATAAATCATCCGTGAATGTCTGTTCCCCTGAAAATTGGGTGCAAGTGTCTATAAATGTCCTTGAGATAAAATTATCTGTGTTTTTACCATTTTTTTTTATTTCTCCTTTGATCTGGCAGTCATGAAAAGAGATGCAAGAAATCTCCCACAAAGAGGGGCGCCTGAGTGGCTCAGTGGTTAAGCCTCTGCCTTCGGCTCAGGTCATGATCTCAGGGTCCTGGGACTGAGCCCTGTGTAGGGCTCTCTGCTCAGCAGGGAGCCTGCTTCACTTCCTCTCTCTCTGCCTGCCTCTCTGCCTACTTGTGATCTCTCCCTGTCAAATAAATAAATAAATAAATAAATCTTAAAAAAAGAAAAGAAAAGAAAAGAAACCTCCCACAATGAGTGTACCATGGCCCCATGAAGGTTTTGGTTCTCATCGAGTTGAAGGAATTTCTGGTAGTTGTACGGCAGAATAATTTCAGGAGGTCATTTTCCGAGTTCCCTTTTCCTTAACATTAGTCTTTATATTTCTGGTTTGCTATAATAAGGCATCCTGATATCATGGCACAATGATAGGGCCCTCCAAGATCAAAGCACGGAACTCCTCATTTTTTAACTAGATGTTCTATAATTAAGATAGATCTTTGCTTTTTCCTTGATATATTTTATTTGCTGGCTCAATAATTTTGTTATATAGAGATGCATGTTTGTTGAGCAAGGATTTCTGGCTATGGCAAATGTCTCTAAATTTTTATCTAGAATTGCAACATATAGTTCTCCCCGCAAACGGAGTAATTTGGTAGATCAAGAACTCCATTACTATCATAAACTTGGCTACACTGAGGCAGTCCAGATAATTTAGTGAGGAAGAGCAATTAGGTGAGAAGTACGGTGCTGTTGTGCATTTCTGGAAGAGCAGAACTAATAGACATCCGTTACTACTCTATGTTGAGTGCTGGGTCAAGTTTTAGCCATACATATGGTATTTCTGCCAGCAATTTAATTAAACAGTTTCAAGAACAACATCAACAAAAATATCCCATGTCTACTATTCCAGATGCTGATAATAAGCAGTGGATAAAATTGTCCAAGTTCCTGCTTTTTGGAGGACTTATAGATAAAAAAGAAAGTACGTGGTGTATTTTAGTAAACAGTATTAGTATGAGTATAAGATACATTCTAAGTATAATGATTGATATTGTAGAAACATAATTCAGGGTGATCAATACAAAGGAGCAAAATAAAGCAAGAAATAGGAATATACATATATATTTAGGAATTCCTGAATATTTATTGATTCTGATGCATGTGAAGCCGTAGTCTTCCAAGGTGGGCTTGATGCAGTGGTTGTTCTGAAGTCAACCCTCCCTGCCTTGGGGAGAGGACCTCTTTCCATCTCTTTGTTTAGGGATGTGACTTTGGTGGCTTGAGACTGACTGTGACATTTGCACCATGGTAATAGGCAGACCGACAAATTAAAGATTCCATTCCCACTGCGCCAGAGATGAGTGTCAAAAGTTTGCTAGAACCTCACTTGGTGGGTAGTAATGGTGTAGTCTTACCATTCAAAATTCTACAAAATATTCAAAATGTTGAATGTTTCCTTGACCACCCCTCAACACTGTGAAGACAAAAACAACAACAACAACAACAACAACAAAAAACATTTCTAGTTGGGGTGATATTAATTTTTTAAGAGTTAAAACCCCTTTAAAAACATCAGTGCCCAATTGCAGTAGAAATTCATTTCTTTCTCAGGTACAGAGTTAAGGGAAAGGCTGGTTGGTGTAGGTTGCTCCAAGCAGTAGTGGGGACCCTGAGTGGCAAGACCATGGCCATCCTTGCTGCGTGGCTTCCATGGTCACCATGTTCACAGGCAGCAAGCTGTAGGTGGCTAGAACATGATAAAATGCATGTGAGCATTTTTTTTTTGTGCCAGCCCTGGGGAGCTCAAAAATGATACCTACTCACGTAAGGAGAAAAGACAACTGGTCTCCCTTTTCAGTCTCTGCCACAATAATTCAAATATGCTCTTTTACTATAAATGTGTCCTGCATGCTAATGAGCTGATACATTATTGTGAGAATGTGAGAATGAGGTTCATATATTGTTGAAGTTGTGTTAGTTCATGTGTGGCTTTTTCTAGGCCAAGAGAGCCAAAATAGCAGGAAAGAATTACAGGCAATTCCAGGGAAAAGCCCTCAGTTCAGGAGTACGGCAGGCAGAACCCTGTGAACTCTCCTCCAGGACAGCTGGAAGAGAGTGCCTGCCCGGACCCCTATCCCAGGGATACAAACCAGCCTTGCCCAGCTCAGACTCCTGTACTTCCTCTTCAGCCTTAACCATCTGCCTGCCTGGCCTGTCCAGATTGTCACCTGAGGTATTAATGACTGTTATTCTCAGTGCCTCGGTGACCAAGTTTCATAGGTTTTGGGTAGACTGCCTCAAAACTAAGTTTCCCTTAACTACGTTATTTTCGGGTGATATCTTACAGCTTGACAGCAGCTCATATGTGTGACACGGCTGCTCCGCCCCTAATTAGACAAAAAGAAAGTCATGGCACCCATTATGTGCTTAGAATGTAAAATAAGTGAAAGTTTAGACCGTTTAAAAATCAAAGCATGGGAAATTACTGAACAAGAAAATATGTTAAAAATTAGTATTTTATCCGTGTAGGGATCTGAAATTTAACAGCCTTGGCATCTGATTTTCCAAATCATAAGGGAATTAATTTATGAGTGTCCCTCAGTGCTCGTCTTGACAGACTGAGTGGGTTGGTCTATGGATCAGGGGCTGTCACTGCAGACTCCTTTAAAGTTAATTGAAAATTTTGCAATACAGTTTTTCATATAAGCCAAATCCCAGAGAGGACTGTCGTGTTTATTAGGTTGTCCTCTACCTTGGACCGAGTACTCCTCAGCAGGGACATGCTGTGACGTCCTAGGCTTTACTTCTTCGGGTTTTCCAGTAGTTCTGCTGATCCTCTCAGCACCTGCTCATGCACCAGGAAAGTCATGGCAGCCACCGGGTCCTGGAAACCCAAGTGCTGTTTTCTGAACAGATTGGAAGGCAGAAGTATTTCCTGCCATTATTAATGAGCTCTCACAGACAATCTGCTTGTGATCACGGCTTTTATCACACAGACAGACTTGAGAGTGATTTGTTGATGTCACGACCGCCACTGTGTTTTGTGTTTAGGTCACTGGAAAGGGAACGTTTTATATGGAGTTAGCTGATGCTTCTCACATCACTCTGACAAATACTTGTGAAGATCTTGATGAAAATACAGGATTCTACAACGTCGTCAAATGCTAACGAAAAACCAGAATAAAATTTCCCTGCTCTGCTTCCTTCCCCTCCTCCCTGCTCCCCCTTACATATACTAAATATCTGGCTGTAGAGAGTCACTTTCTCTTATTCTGTATTTTTCTTGAGCCTATATGGAACATTTGTGATTGTCATATAATCATCTCTTTGGCCCTGGCCAAGTCATAGCCTCTCCCAAATCCATTTCCTTTTCTTGTGAAAGAGAGATGGTCTGGCCCAGTGGTTGTGAGAATAACTTTGAAAAGCACCAAGTGATCCAGAAATGGAAACCGCCTGGTCACAATGCTATGTCCTTTCAAAGGACTTGGACATCTCCCCGAAGATGAAGCAGCCGTGCCCTTTCTGAGTGATCTTTCCATACACGGCCTATCATCAACCACATTTGTGGGGTTACATAGTTCCTTTGACTTCCACCATAAATACCTGAAGAGAGGAATATCCAGACACTTCAGAACCTGTGGGTTCGATTCTCGAATTCTCAGTGTTCTAGTGTTCGTTTTCTGCCAATAGTAAAATTTGAATCTAGTGGTAGGTAATGAGCTTGTATGTTTCTATTACAAGGGTTTTAGGTAGTGTTTCTAAGGAATATCAGGTGGAAAGAAAGTGAATATTGTTTCAGTTTCAGGAAAGAGAATTCAGTCCGTTAATCACTGTATTAATAAGACAGAGACCACAACAGCAAGAGTTCTATCCATGGTTCTGAAGTGCCAAGAGAAAAATCTGTTTCATTGTTCAACCATTATTTTGTCTTTTAGAGATGGATGTTATAATCCCTAGGAAATATGTTTAGCAATATATGGGTGGAAATAATCACTGTGTCACATAAACAGCTGATAGCCTGCATAGGTTCTGTTACATTAGATAAGCAGAGTCATCGGGATAAACAGATTTTATTAAGGTGTGCTGGAAGACTCAGAATGGCTTTCTGCCAAGATTTAACACAAAGTTTAGTTGGTGTTATTCAATGATGGAACTTTAATGCATCTGTAGAACTTTTAGTCCTTTGGTGCAGGTTTAAGAAAAATAAAAAAAGATGGTGTTTGCTAATATTAAGTTGCGCAAAACCACACATCTAGCTCTAAGTATATGATTTATATTATTACCGTGCGATGTTGAGTAGGACATCAACTCTCTTTGCTTCTCTCCCGATCTGTGAGCTGGCCTTTGCCATTTGCACGCCAGGTTCAAAAAGGAATGATTAACAAGTTTCTGACTTCCGTGCTGGGGCAAGAGGGAGTCAAGTGAGCTCTGTCGTGCTCCTGTATCATTGAGACCATTACTCAATGGTCTAGTGAGCTCCATCGTGCTACTGTATTGTTGGAGTAAGGGTCTGGTGAGCCCCATCATGCTCGTATTGCTGGTGTAAGGGTCTGGTGAGCTCCATCGTGCTACTGTGTTGTTGGAGTAAGGGTCTGGTGAGCCCCATCGTGCTACTATATCGCTGGAGCAAGGGTTTGGTAAGCTCCGTCATGCTACTGTGTTGTTGGAGTAAGGGTCTGGTGAGTTCCGTCACGCTCCTGTATCGTTGGAGTAAGGGTCTGGTGACGTTCTCACTGTATTTCTTGCAGGTTGCTTTCAGCTATGTAACGTTTTCCGAACCCATGAAATGGAAATTGACCAGTGCTTGTTGGAGTCCCTTCCCCTCGGCCAGCGTCAGCGGCTGGTGAAGCGCATGCGCTGTGAGCAGATAAAAGCCTACTATGAAAGAGAGAAGGCTTTTCAGAAGCAGGAAGGATTCCTGAAAAAGCTGAAGCATGGGAAGAGTCAGAAAGTCCACTTTAACCTTGCCGACATGATACAGGATGCAATTATCCACCACGATGACAAAGAAGGTACGTGACACAGAAGTTTTCCGGTGTGGGTTTTCATGGTTTCTGTTTGTTGTTTCCTAGTGGGGAGATGAAGGATGGTATTTCTTTTAAATGTTAGGGGTCTTTCAGAAAAAAAAATCTGAGATAGTCAAGGAAATATCCTCTTTCGGAAGAACATAGTTAAAACTTCCAAGTCTAGTACAAGTGAACGAAATGCAAAATTTTGGTAAAATTGTTGCAATATTTTTTAAAGAATTACCTACCTGGAAAGCATGTGATTTCCTTGTAAATTGTGCATTCAAATTTTTAATGAATTCTTTTTCCTAATGAAATTGTTTTCTTTGATGATGAGATTATGTTGCAAAATGCATTATTATTTCATTTTGAATTCATGGATAGAAATGGGAATAGAAATTAGCTACCATTTTATTATTCTCTTCCTACTTGGAGCTCTTCATTTCATGGCCATTCCCTCTGAGGAGCTGTAAGTACCTTCAGGGGAAGGGATGCTCTCAGCCCATTTCACAGCCCCCTCCTCCCCCTCCCAGTACCTTCCAGCAGTGTTGAGTGAGAGAGGGAAGCAATTTGTTCATGCTCACCAGGCCGTATTGTTGGAACATGTCTAAATTAAGTTGCAGGAAGACCTAAGCCCTACATCGATTTAACAGTCACAACCACAAAGAGATTATTCACCAAGTCTCTCATGTAAAATATCAACAGGACAAATAATGCCTGAATTAGGGTTACAAATTTAAGAATAATAAAATCATAAATCCAGAGACCAAGAGGAACTATTTAATATATGTATAATATATAATATGTGTACTAATATATATTCCATATTGTAACATTTGATGAGGACACTGAAGTCATAAAATCAGAATTAACCCTGATGTAGGCGTGTCACTTGGGCAATCAAGAGCCTGAGATAGGAGTCCTGCCTTCAGAAAACCTCGAATCTAAGTAGGGGTGGAAAACCCTCGTAAGAAAGTAGAAAACAGTAGAAATGAAGTCTGGTATGAACAGGAAGAGCTGGGTAGTAGAATGTGATCTCTGAGGGGTTCTGGAGGAAGCTGTCTGTAAAGAAGAAACCACACTTAGGCAGTGTGGAGAACAGCTGCCCCGCGTGAGTACCGGCAGGGAGACCTGCCTGAAGGGAACAGGAATGAGTAGCGGGGCTACTAAACTGGTACTGAGGAAATAGGATTATTGTGAATACCTCAAGCCCTATTTTTGAAGCAGAGTGCAGTGGGATCCACTGTATGTTCCTCAGAAGAAAATGCGTATGCCGCAAATAGCGTTGAGCAAAGGTTAATCAGGGATATATATCTGTAGGAGACATGGAAGGATAAGGATAAGAACAAGAAACAAAGACACCAACTAAAAATCCAACGATGAAATTTCCATGTTAGATTGAACTGGCTTGAGATAGTAGCCATGGGGATTGGACGAATGAAACCAGCAGCCATATTCCATAGGAAAAATGCCTAAATTCATCAAATATGTATTGTGTTTTTATTATGGGCCAGGGAGCTGTGAATGAAGGAAACCACATCTCTGTCTCTGTGAGGCCCCACTGTCTGGTGTGTGACCATAAAAATTAAGATAAAGTTGGACGCGTAGTATGGGGGGTAATGGAAGGAAGGAAGGAGGGAGACTCTGGAGGGAGGTGTGGGGGGTTAGGCAAATGGATATCTGAGGAGGAGCCTTTCAGGTGAGTCTGGAGCTGGGAAGGAACATCCCAGCCTGTGGGAGGAGCCAGTGTGAATAAATCGGGAGGACGGAAGGCAAGAAGCCAGCATGGAGGGGCTGGAAGGGTCATGGGAAGGATTCCGGCTTTTGTGCTCAGTGAGTCCTGAAGACATTGTGGGGGCTTGAGTGGGGCTCATATCACTTGTGACTTAACAGGACGAGCTTGGCTGCTGCACTGTGCCTTGAACAAAGAATTGTGAGGACAGAGCAGGGAGGCTCTGCCAGGAAGTTGGGCACAAAATGATGGTGGCTTGGACCAAGGTGGAGTGAGGGCGTGGTGAGAAACTGTCAATTGGGGCATATACTTTCAGGATAGAGCTAACAGGAAATGCTGATGGGTGGGTGATGGGGGGTAGATCCGTTTGTACTGCTGCCATAATGAATGGCCTCTCCTTTAGTGTGTAGTTGCAAAAGGTATGAGTATATCCTCTTATAGTTGTGGTCAGAAGTCTGGGGTGAGTCCCACTGGCCTGAAATCCAGGTATCATCAGGCTGCGATGCTTTCTGGAGGTTCTAGGTGAGGATTGCTTTCCTTGACTTGTCCGTTTTCTGGAGGGCATAATTTCCCTTCAACCCTAGCGCTCTCCTCCATCTTCAGAGCCGGCAAGTGTTGATGGAGTGTCCCTCTCATGCTTGGAATTTCTTCTGCTCCTTTTTATGTCCTTGCGTCTCTCTGAACAAATCTTTTGCCTCCTTATTCCACCTTTAAGGCCCACGTGATCCAGGGGCAAAGAACTCACTTGAATCATCTTGGATAATCTCCCTTTTTTAAGGTCAGCTCATGAGCCACCTTAATTCCTTTCCCCAGGTACTATAACATAATTCAGAGGCATGACACCCAAGGGCAAAATTATGGAACCCAGATCCTACAGACTCAAGGATCACACTGACTCTGTTCTGGCCTAAATAACCAGGAGAATGAAATGTTATTAACAGAGATAGGGATGCTGCTAGGAGGTCAGATCAGGAGAGGGCATCATGTTGTTTGGAGACAAAAATTGGAGACAGATGGGCATCAAAAGCTGAAAGACTATATATCACTTAGGGAAGGAGAGTAGATAAAAATACAAAAAGCTCAAGAACTGAGCCCTAGGGAGCTCCAATATTAAGAATTCAGAAATGAGGCAGATCCACCAGGAGCAACAAAGAAAGGTGGAACATGAGGTGGGGGAGCTGTCCTGGGAGCTAACTGATGAGCACTTTTCAAGGAGGAGAGTGATTGACTGTCAAACACTGCTTCTCAGTCTTGGGGTGGAGAAAGAATTGAACCTTTGCATTTAGAAATATGGAAGGTATAGTTTTGGTGAATTGTTGAGAGCAAAACTCAAGTGGATAAGAATGGAGACAGAGTGGGTGAACAGAAATGGACACTGGAAAATGGAGACCTCTTGAAGGGAGTTTTAAGTAGAGGGGAGAAATGGTAAGGTAGCTACAGAGGGAAAAGAAATGAAGAGAACTTTGTTTCATGGGAGATCACGGGAGAAATATGGGATTTCTGGGAGAAATAATATCATGGGAGAAATAATAGCATGTGTGTAGTGGAAAGAAATCCTGTATCTGGGAGGGAAGAACTACTGGCACAGAAGTAAGGAAGGAAAGTTGCTGGAGCAAGGCTTTGAGCATGCACACATGATGAGATCTGGTCTTTAGCTGGAGGGTTTGGTCCCGCTAATTTTATTTATAGTTCCAGTATCCCGGCTCTGCCCGTAGAGATTCTGATTCAAGCAGAATAGTTTTCCAGTGTGCCTCCAGTGCTGTGCTGTGCAGACAGGGTTGAGGACCTCCCACGGGGGCGGTGGGAGAAGAGATGCAGCCCAACGGCAAGTGGGTGTGGTGATGGGAACCTAGTGGCAGCTCTCTGACTGCCTCCAGCACTGACTGATGAGGGAACTCTGGCTGTCAAAGAAGAGGGAGGATGAGAGGAGGGCTTGCAGCTCCAGGATAGAGGAGAACATGTACACGTGGAGAATAAATGGATTGAGGCAATCTGGTATGAAAAAAAGGATTTACCAATAGAATGAGATATAAAAAACAGAAACAGAAGGACCACGTGTGACTCAAAGTTTTCCAAAGTGGATTGGGGCTCAGTGGGGAGCCTTCTTCTCCCTCTCCCTCTGTCTGCTGCTCCCCCTGCTTGTACTCTTTCTGTCAAATAAATAAATAAGCATCTTTAAAAAAAAAAAGTGGGTTAGCATGGCCTCTCCACCCATGGATCCTTATTCATAGCTATTTGCTTTTCTACCCTAAAATTTTACTCTAGCTTTTAGAGTTCAGTTTGTCCGCACTTTACATTCACAATTCCATATATATACACAGATGCCATTTTATATGGAATATAGTATCACCTCATCAACAGGCCCTTGGGTTTCTTGCCGACTTGGAATCACTTGTTAGCTGTCAACACCTATTTTCCAGTGGGGTCCATGACTGTGTGGATGTACAGTGGGTCATTTGTGTGTGACAGTTAATATAAAGACCCTGAAATCTAAACAAGCAGTCGGATTTGATTTTTCAACCCAGAAGAAGCAAGGAGTAATTGTTTTGTTTGAATAAATCACGATTAACTATGAGTTGGGTTTAATTTTTTTAAGTTTTTTTATATTTTTAAAGATTTATTTATTTATTTATTTTGTTTAGAGAGCACTCATAAGTGGAAGGGGAGGGGCTGAGGGAGAGGGAAAGAGAAAATCTCAAGCAGACTCCTAGCTGAGCACAGAGCCCGATATGGGGCTTGATCTCAGGACCCTGGGATCATGACCTAAGAAATCAAGAGTCAGACCCATAACTGACTGAGCCAACCAGGCACCCCTTGAGTTGGGTTTTATTGAAGAAATTGCTTTTGGAATTGCAATGGAGAGAATGAACTGGTCAGTAAAGTTACCCATTTTGCTTGGTGTAATGACCAGTAGAAGGTATTTCAATTGATAGGGACAATAGGAAACTTCAGAAGAAAAAAATTGCACACATTCACTCACAATGTTCATTACACTCTTGCTTTGCACAATAAACTATAACAAACCTTTCCTATATATGATCTGGTTTATTCTTTATGACAGAAATTAAACAAAAAAATTTCAAAAGATTCTTAGAGAAAATGTCTTCAGAAAGACACTTTATGGGGCACCTGGGTGGCTCAGTCGTTAAGTGTCTGCCTTTAGCCCAGGTCATGATCCCAGGGTCCTGGGATGGAGCCCCACACTGGGCCCCCTGCTCAGTGGGAAGCCTGGTTCTCCCTCTCCCATAACCCTGCTTGTGTCCCCTCTCTCTCT